CAACCGTCCCGTACAGAAAATAGAGATCCATTACCCAATCCATGGGCTCCACCGGCTTCCCAAAGTTCACCAGCTTCCAGTGGCACCACCAGCACCGTGGGTGGCACTGCTGGTAGCGCAGCCAGTGGCACTGCTGGGCAGAGTACTACTGCGCCAAATTTGGTATCTGGAGTAGGAGGTATGCTTATAACAACTCATGCTTCTTTCCTTATATGAATAATGAAAGCATTACTTATACTATTATTATTTGTGCTTTTGTGTTCTGTGTATGATAAGTACCTTTTATGAATGATCTTTTCATGTTGTAAGTTTTTTTTTTTTTTTTTTTAATGGAAGCTTTAATTATGTGATGGTTAGTGTTACCCCCTGAGTGCATTATAGTGGAGAGGGGTACAGAAGATTTCCAGAAGAAGTTTTATGTTTTTACATCCTAAAATGGTGAAGTGGGTGAAGTGGGTGGTGGTCTTACTTCTCCAATAGGGAAACTGAAGTGCAGAGGGAACACGTAGTTACCTGTGTGGTTATTACTAGAGTACATGTTTCTTAGCCTTAGTCTCATTTTGTATTTTAGATCAGTGGATTCCCAAACACCAGCCTTGAGGTCAAGGCTTAACTAGCTGCATCAGAGCACTTGGCAGATTTGTAAAAATCAGATTCCCAGGTCTCACTCTTAGACTTTGTGGAGCAGAATCTTTCATGGTGGGGTTTAAGATCTCTGTTTGTGTAAAGCTCCTTCTGGCTCTGATGTGGGAATGGGTTAAGAATTTACTTTTGTCCACTTTTCTATAGACTAGACTCAATAAATGGATGGCTTCTTTTCAACATTCAGATATTACATGCTGATGTTTTCTTTGTGAATTAGTCCAAGATCATTAGCCAGAGTGATGATTTTTTAGTCCTAATACTTAGCATATAAATAGGAAGAAATGGAGACATGGGAGCACTTACCTCTGATGAGAGAGCCTGGATATATTTTTAAAGATGCCTGTATCTTGTCAGAGGAAGTGTAAAGATGAGATGCTGGATAAGGAATTTTAAAAAATTCCTTGCTGAGAAAAGAATCAGAATGGGGTTAGTAATTGGTGGTCACAGTGGTATATATTCTTTCATAGTGTACAATTTGAGTTACATGAAATTTCTGGACATAATACAGGTTTTATAAAAATTGAAATACCATTTTTAAATCAAGAAAAAAATACCATATTATATATTCTACTTGATCCTTATTGATTAGCAATCTTTTGAGAGAGAAGTACTATTTCCACTTTAAAGAATATAGAGTAGGCAGAGCAAAGATTTAATCAGATTTCCTGACTGGTAGAGTATTGTTTTTTTCCTATAGCATGGTTGTCTATAGTGACAACTTTTGTATAACAAGCAAAAAATCAGTTTTGCAACTTTTTACTCAGATTCTAATTTAATGACTTGGTACTTTAGCATTTTATGTTAATATTTCTGTCAAGGGAAGGTAAGAAACAGCAAAAATGAAATTACTCTGCTGGCTGATGAATTTGCCAGCATATTTGTGTACCATTATGATTCTTACTCAAGTCTTTGAAGTTTCATGCATATATGTACACATACATGTAAAGATGAAATTCTTGACTCTTCTTTGACCCTGTGAGCACTTAATGTAGAAAGTGAGGGGGTTCTTAGAGCAGGACTTGCTAAATTTTTCATGTGAAGGGTCAGATAATACTTTAGGCTTTGCTGGCCAAAAGGCAAAACTGAGAATATGACATCAAGAGAGAAAACAAATTACTACAAACTTTTTTTATTGATGAAATCAAAAACCGGGAAATAATTGCATATATCTTCCTCATACATATCTATTGATGAGAAGAATGGACTTCTTTAGGGGAATAATGTTTTACTTAATTAGGGTTCACAGTGTTCTGTGTTTATCAAAATTGATTGCAAATGTTCATCTGTTAACACTGATACATGATGAGACTTATTCAGACTGTGTACTCATTCCAAAAGTGTATAATTTTTAATAGCATATTCATCAGTGTGTAAGGCATTATAGAATTCTATTAGATTCATTTGTTTTTAGCATGCCACTACATTGCAGATCAGTTACTTAAAATTGAAGGTTAGGTTGTAGCTCCTCGATTACACAGTTAAATGAATTTTGAAATGTGAATTTTCTTTGCACTTGTATTGAGGTTTGAAAACAGATGTTGGTAGTATGAGCTCAAAAATAAATCTGCAGATTCATGGGAATGCAGGTTTTGTTTTTGACAGCACAAGGGATATGTAAAGCAGGTTGACATTGCTTATGATTCAAACAATTTTAGTTGTTAAAATGACTTTACTACAGTATGAGTTTCACACATAAATGCTATTTGCTTTGTAATTTTGGGTTGAATTTATTGAGAAACGTTACCAAGTCCCTGCCAAAAACTAATTTCCAAATCATTCAGTGTATGATAATGTGGGTTGGGTGGTGGTTCTTATTTACAAATTTTTTAGTCTCAGGTATGACCTGATAGGATAATACAGTGAAACTTTACCTCTGCTAAGCCATCAACCTGCTCTATGGTTGGCATGTCAGGATGTTGAACTGTTTTTAATAAAAATTCATGGAATTGACCAGTTAAGCTCACAAGAATGAAGAATAAGAATGTTCATCATTGATATTCCTGGTTCAGTAACATGATAGATTAAAATATTTTCCAGAGTACCTGCTGACGAATAACATTTTTATAAGCTTTGTAAATTTGCCCAACTGAATCCTTCTAATTCTCCACGTTTCTGCCACCATCTGATGTAACACAACTTAGCAGATTCTACTTCAGGTTGTACCCAGTTAGTATTTCTTAACTTCTTTGAAGATAGTCTTGCCTTAGTTGTTCTATTCAGACTGTTTTTAGAGGCTAATTTTTCAGTCACTTCAAACTTGGCATTGACTCCTAAAATAAATAAGAACTGAATGGTAACAGTAAAATCTGTTGACTCATCAAGAACTGAGGAATACCACTCAAAATCATTTGCACTGGTTTTTAATTGAATGTTGATGTTGCGCCCAGTGTCCTCAACTGTGTGAGAAAAGTTGTTCTCCCTGAAAGCCTAACAGACTAAAGTTTATTTTCTGTGGACACATTTATTTGGCTGCTGTAGTCAAGATTTAATTAACTATTGATTAATCACCACTAGTACACGGCTTTCCTTGATTGGCTAACAAATAAGCCACTTGGAAACTTACTTTTGGTTGCAGCCTTATTTTTATTTTTTATTTTTGTGGAGAAACTTGGCAGTGATGAGATACTTCATTATAATAAAATTTTGTGATTTTTCTAACCATTGCTTTCCTGTGGGTGGGGAATATTGTGATGAATGCTTAGTCTGTCAGTGTCCGTGCATGTTGTATTCTTGTGGTGTCATTGCGTAATAAACACAATGTTTTGCCATCTCATTTAATAAAATAATTTATACTACACTGTGCTTTAAAAGCACAACTTTCATAGTCCACTTCTTCCTTTTTTCTTGTTCTGACATGATTGATATGCACTGATAATTAAAAACACATGCTACAGTGATTTCACATTGCATGAGTTATAACTGATTAACTGATTTGTGGTAGTACACTAAGCAGCAATACGAAGCAGTGATAACACCATACACAGTCTATGTCTCAGTTCAGTTCTGCTTTTGTAAAAGTGTAAAAACACCTGTAGACAATAAATGAGTGAGCATGATGATTCGAATAAAATGATATTTATGGATGACACTGAAATTTGAACTTCAGATAGTTTTTACATTTCACAAAATATTTTACCTCGTGGGCTATACAAAAAACATGTTGTAGGCCAGATTTGTCCTGCAGACTGTAGTTTGCCATCCTTAGAATATAGACATACTTCATTTTATTGCATTTCACTTCATTGCGCTTTGCAGATATTTTGATTTTTACAGATTGAAAATTTGTGGCAACTCTGTCAAGTCTATTAGTGCCATTTTTTCAACAGCCTGTGCTCACTTTGTGTCTCTGTGTCACATTTTGGTAATTTTTGCAATATTTCAAACCTTTTCATTATTGTATCTGTTGTGGTAATCTGTGAAGAGTTATCTTTGATGTTACTATTATAGTTGTTGTGGGGCACTACAGAACACATTCATGTAAGACGGTGAACTTAATTGATAAATGTCGTATGTGTTCTGACTTTTCCACCAGCTACCTGTTTCCCCTGTCTTTCTCCCTCTCTTCAGGCCTCCTTATTCTCTGAGACACAACAATATTGAAATTAGGCCAGTTAAGAACTTTTCAATGTCCCATAAGTGTTCAAGTAAGAGTCTTGTGTCTCTCACTTAAAATAAAAACTAGAATTGATTAAGCTTAGTTGAGGAAGCCATGTCGAAAGCCAAGATAGGCCAAAAGCTAGGCCTCTTGTGCCGTACAGTTAGCCAAGTTGTGAATACAAAGGAGAAGTTCTTGAAATTAAATGTACTACTCTAGAAAACACAAATGATGAGAAAGCAAAACAGCCTTATTAATGATATGGGGAAGGTTTTAATGGTCTGGATAGATCAAACTATCCACAAAATTCCCTTCAGCCAAATTGTGAACACAGAGCAGGGCCCTAATTCTCAATTCTGTGAAGGCTGAGAGAGGTGAGGAAGCTGCAGAAGAAAAGTTTTGAAGCCAGCAGAGGTTGGTCTGTGAAGTTTAGGGAAGGAAGCCATCTCCATAACATAAAAATGCACGGTGAAGCATCAAATGCTTAGAAGCCTCAGCAAGTTATCCAGAAGATCTAGCTAAGATAACTGATGAAGGTGGCTACACAAAACAATAGATTTTCAATGTAACTGAAACAGCCTTTTGTTGGAAGAGGATGCCATCTAGGACTTTCATAGCAAGAGAGAAGTCAGTGCCTGGCTTCAAAGCTTCAAAGGATAGGCTGACTATTGTTAGGGGCTGATGCAGCCAGTGACTTAAAGTTGAAGCCAGTGCTCATTTACCATTCTGAAAATTTTGGGGTCCTTAAGAATAATGCTAATTCTACTCTTCCTGTGCTTTATAAAGGGAACAACAAAGCCTGGATAACAGCATATCTGTTTTCAGCATAGTTTAATGAATATTTCAAGCCTACTGTTGAGACTTACTCCTCAGGAAAAAAGATTCCTTGAAAATACTGTTGCTCATTGACAGTACGCCTAGTTAACCAAGAGCTTTGATGGAGACACGTACAAGGAGATTAATATTGATTTTATGCCTGCTAACACAACATCCGTTATGCAGCTCACGAATCAAGGAGTAATTTGACTTTGAAGTCTTACTTAAGAAATATATTTTGTAAGGTGATAGCTTCCTTAGTGATTCCTATGGTGGATCTGGGTAAAGTAAATTGAAAACCTTCTAGAAAGGATTCACCATTTTAGATGTCATTAAGAACATTTATGATTCCTGGGAGGAGGCAAAAATATCAACGTTAACAGGAGTTTGAAAGAGGTTGATTCCAGCCCTCATAGATGACTTAAAAGGGGTTCAAGACTTCAGTGGATGAGGGAACTGCAAATATGGTGGACAAGAGAAGTAGAATGAGAAGTGGAACCTGGAGATAAGACTGAATTACTATAGTGTTGGAATAAAACTTGAAAGGATGAAGAGTTGCTTCTTATGGATGAGCAAAGAGTGGTTTCTTGAGATGGACTATATTCCTGGTGAAGATACCATGAACATTGTTGAAATGACAAGAAAGGATTTAGAATATTACATAAACTTAGTTGATAAAGCAGTGGTACAGTTTGAGAGGATTTACTCCAGTTTTAAAAGAAGTTCCACTGTGGGTGAAATGCTGTCAAACAGCATTGTGTGCTTCCAAGAAATCTTTTGTGAAAGAGTCAATTGATGCAGCAAACTTCACTGTTGTGTTTTTTTAAGAATTGCCACAGCAGCCAGCAAAATGATTATGACTTGCCAAAGGTTCACATGATTATTAGCCATAAAGTATTTTTAAATTAAGGGTATGTACATTGTTTTAAGATGTAATGCTGTGGCATACTTAATAGACTATAGTATAGTATAAACCTAACTTATATGTGTTGGGAAACCAAGAAATTTGTAAGACCTGCTTTGTTGTGATACTCATAGCATTGTCGTGGTTTGGAGCCAAACTTACAGTATCTCTGAGGTATGCCTATAGTTTTAGACTCTAGGATGTGGAAAAAATTAAATTACAACTTATAACATGAAAAAATAGGAAAAACAAAATTATCAACAGCAGAATTACAATAAACTAGAAAGACAAGTGGGAAGAGTCAGATGTTTTAAGTCTGTTAAAACTACATGGGATAGAATAACAGCAGAAGGGAAATGAAAAAGCTTAATGAGTTGACATAGTTAAGTTTGAGAATATATGAGAGTTTGGGTATATCTGGTCAGTAATTGAAAACCTAGGTATAAGTTAAGCAAATCACTTAGTTTTCAGTGAAGATTTGCCTAAGTATATAGTTGAGTCATGACATGCTAAATTCACGTTAGTGCAGCTGTAGCCCTTGGCAAAAAAGAGACAAAAATGAGAATAATCATAACAAGCACTTTACACATTAAATAATTTGTTACGACCACCCTATGAAGTAGATACTATATTTTTCCATTTTACAGATGGGGAAACTGAAGTATGAAGAAGCTGAATAACTTGCCTGTGGTTATTACCTAAGTTAGATTCGAACCCAGATAATCTTGGTCCAGACACTGCTCTTAGTCGCTGTGCTCTAATGGTCTCTCAAATGTTAAATGTGCCTTCCATTTCACTCAGTGAGTGCCAGCACTCAGCAAAAATGGGATAGAGGACTTGTATCTATTTCCCCTAGATGTGAAGTCTTCTTTCATGTATGTGAGCGTACTGAGTGCTGAATATGATTCTAATTAAGCAGTCATTTGCATTCCTGGAGGAAAAGTTGGCTCAGAGTTCTTCACTTTATGGGATTTTTCAATAGTAATTTTGATCATATCTCATTTTTGCCTTAAATTGACTTTAGAACTTTGCCCTTCCATTAGATGTGATTTTACTGTAAATGTAACCAGAATGTTTAAAATCATAAGTCATCTTTTACTGGTATATTTTGGGCATGCACTTTTGGAGATCATCTTAGTTTTAAAATTCTTTCTTAGTTCAATTGATAGCATAATGTGTATACTCATCTGCACTTGCTAAAATTAAACACAGTGTATATTATATTTTAAAGTTTTAACTTTTGTTTATGTATTATTTCCTTAATACAGTGTCTTTTTTTTTAAAACAAACTTTCAGCTAGTATGTTCAACACACCAGGAATGCAGAGCTTGTTGCAACAAATAACTGAAAATCCGCAACTTATGCAAAACATGTTGTCTGCCCCCTACATGAGAAGCATGATGCAGTCACTAAGCCAGAACCCTGACCTTGCTGCACAGGTGAGTTTGTAATTGTATTTAAAGGACTGTGCAGTGTGAATTTAAATAATGTAATCCAGTAATTGTGATTTTGGCACACTAGAAATGTAAACTGCATATCCAACTTTTTGGACAGTCTATTTCTTTGTAGTAGATTAATACTTCATATGTAATTAAAACAATGTAATCATCTCCGCCATTTATTGACTAGAAAATAGTGCAGGTTTACTTTGTATCTACATATGTTGAGTTAGGAGATTAAGTACAAAAGTTTTGGATTGCTCTCTTTTGAAGATAGACTCTTTAATGAAATGTAAATCTTGAAAGCAATTAATAACTGTTAATAAATTTGAAATCTTTATTTGGTAGATTACTCAGATTGTAATAGTCATCCTCAAAATGGCATTGTAACATAGCCTGGAATTGTTTATTAAAGGCAGAGAGGGACTTGTGGGGAATGTTCTCATTCTTTCTGTATTATAGATCCCCCCACCCCAAGATAGTATACTGGTTCTTTATTAATTTATTCATTTTCCAGTTTGTTTCTAAAGAGACCATAACTAAGAAAATTAATGGATATTAACACTGGCTTCAAGATTACTTGGAGAGTTTTTTAAAACAGTACTGATGCCTGGGCCCCATCCTTAGAGATTTTTATATAATTGCATTGGATGTTCCCCCCCAACTCCCAGTTTCCTGGGTGATTCCAATGTATTGTCTAGGTTCTGCACCATTGGGCTTATAAAATCCTGGAGAATGTGAAGTAAGCCTTGATCATCTGTAGTTTATATTTGCTGTTTATTAAAAATGGCTTCGGTAAAGTGTTAGGAGTTTGAAATACTTTTCTTTATAGTTAATCTCATTTATTAACTTTTAAAAGCTACAATTAATCACTTGTTCATTATGTAAGTTGAAATGGTTTCCATTTTCCAAACTCTAGGATCATATTGATTTAAGTATATAGCAGATGTCTGATGTATAATTCTCAATACTAACTTCTGCCCTCAAAATTTGTGGAATTGGAAATAAAGAACAAATTTTGAGGATAATTGTTGTACTTAAAATTTTGCATATTGTAGGTACATTTTATGGAAGATAGTTTTATTTTTATTCATATGTAAATTATCATATACTTAGAATAAATATCTCAACTTACTGTACTGAGCCATTTTTGACAGTAAATTAAGCTAAAATTTTCACATGTGCTTGAAATAAATGTAGAAAATAAGTAGAGTTAGCCTATTTGTATATTTTTAAGTGTATAGTTGCGTAATTAATAATGAATGTGCATCTTTTAAAATTTGACTTTAACAAGCTCATTCTTAGCCATTTATAACTATAATTTTACATTTATAAAGCGACTTGAGTACTTTCGTAAACTTTTTTTACTCTAAACCAAAATGTTGACAATGCTAGAAATGGATGTTTTTTATTACAATTGATATTTACAGTGTACTCTTGTTATCAGCAGATTAAAATTTGCCATTTCTGTATTCTGCTTTTGACTTTTAAATATTTTTTTAATAGTCTTGAGTGTAAAAACTGAATTAATTGTCATATAAGCAGTCAGGTAAGTTAGGATAAATATCTTAATCAAATGAGATGATTTTCTGAGAAAAAAAATGAGTAAGTTTAAGATGGTGTACTTTTTCTAGATTCGTTTGAATAACATAAATCCTGAAAGATAAATGTGATAACCTCATTAATATGTTCATAATAAAGAAATATTTGGAGCTGATAAAGAAGCAGGTTTGTTGATCTCGAGTGGGTATTACTTTATTTATTGTAAACTTATTGGTCACTTTGAATAAATACTATATTTCCATGAAACGTTATCTGACTTATTCTGCTTTGGTTATTGTGTTGAAATTAACTAAAGGATCCACTTTGCTACAAGAGATGAACTTTATAAAGGGGTGGTGGAATTCTGTTTTCAGCATTTACATCTAATTGCTCTTAAATGTGGTTAACTACTTGAGGGCATGAATCATTTCCTCCCCAGACTTTGGAAGGGTTAATAGGCTATCAGTAAATTATTGTTAGTTGACTTTTCACTCTGGGAAAAAAAATATAAAATTTGTCTTTTTCAAAGCTATGAGAATTTATCAGTTTCTAGTTATGCTGATTGTGTATTGTAATCTTACTTTCAGGTGTACCACATCATGTTAATAATGGCCCTGAATTTTAAATTCTTAACACCTATTTGAAGGTTAGGAGATATGCCATTTTTCTCATCTCTGGTGGTAGTGAGGTGAAATCCAGGTGCTAATCTTGGTGTTCTCAAATGGATTTACATCTTTCAGGTCTTTGAGCATTTTAACACTTTGCCCAGAGGATTGTTGGTGCTAGTCTGGGCTGATTTTCACCTAGCAGCTCCATTTCTCTGGCAAGTTGGTTGCTGTTTTGTGGTGTTCTTTTTTTGGACCTAATATTAGCTGTTTCGTAGTAGGCAGGTAGATATAGTGGTTCCAGATGGATCGTCTCTGTGCTTGCCACTTGTTTGTCAAGGTTTCTAAGCAAGCCATGTATATAGTTTCATGTATTGATGTTTATGTCAGTATGGCAGAAAATGTATCCCTCATGAATGCCAGTTATGCCCATTTTTCTTTCAAGGGCAGATATTCACTTTTGCTCAAGGAAAAGCCTAAGAAAATGATTGCTTTTATGTTTTAGGATCTTGCATGTCATTATCATATCACCATTCTCATTAAGAGAGAAGATGCCTCATTTTTGTTTTTTTCTGGAGATCCCTCTGGTGGATAGTATCTTCCTTTTTCCTTTTTTAGTTATGTTCTACCTTCCTCCCTTTCAAGTGCCAGCTTAGGCACTCGGGGGAAGATAGAATATTAAACAAGGTACATTACTTGTTTCAGATATTTCCAGTTAAAATTGTTTGAACACTTGCCCCATAGATGATGCTGAATAATCCCCTATTTGCTGGAAATCCTCAGCTTCAAGAACAAATGAGACAACAGCTCCCAACTTTCCTCCAACAAGTGAGTAAGAAAAGATGCTAGCTATCTTCGGTCATGATGTGCTTGAAAACAGTTTGGTAAACATTTTCCTTGCTCTTCTCTGGCTGATAGCAAAACATAGAATAGAGATTGATGATAATGCTGTCAATTGGTAGAGAATTCAGCTTGATCTTAAAATTCAGCCCCATTTCACTGCTGACCTTTTGCTTATGTTTTCTTAAACATAAATTCTGAGGAAAGAACCATTTTATTTTTGCTTTTGAGGATTTAGGATTTTGAATGCTTTGTTAATACCATAAACCATTTTCTTTCACTGTACTAACTTTGAAGTGCTTCCTTGTGTCATGTTACACCTTATAGTTTAACTAATCTCGAGTAACAGGAAAGAGCTACCCTATCTGTTTTGCAGATTTGGTTTCTTTGTAATGTTTTAAATTCTTCCAAATTAATAGAATGCCTGTTTTTCAAGGGGTAGATCTCATTTCCTCAAACTCGGAATTAGTAAGATTAAAATTGTCAGTGTTGTCATATAAGGAAGGTTATATTATAAAAAAGTACTTGATTCCCATGGTATTTTATTATGTAAAAAGATAGAAGTCAGTCTTGGTGTTTTTGAAACTGGTAGTTCTAGGGCCTTATATATTATGCAGATGATACTCAGGCCTGTAAACTATTTCCCAAGGTTAGTTAGTGTCCTTGATCTATTGTAATGATGTAAGCTTATCTTTCTTGGTCAGTCAGGTGGTGTATATTTGGAAGTAGTGAAGCTTTTAAATGTAGGAAATATGTATTAACTTCAAATTTGGAACTATTGTTTTAGAGTGTACCTTTTTGGTAAATTGTTACATCAGCAACAGATAACACTTGGTCCGGAGGAATATGTGGCTTTCACCGTATTACCATGTCATACAAATTGTGCATTTGGAGATTGTCTCTTAGAAATAATACTGTCTTCTGTTGGAGAAGGGGAATAGTTGTGGCTTCCAGAGTAGCTCCTGATTGTCTTCCATTATGAAAATGGCTTTCATGATGGACTTGGGAGGATGTCAAGTAATGATTTGCACACTAGGTTTGCTGTCAAAGAGGAGGTACTTGTGTTTATTTTGGGAAAGAAATCATAAGTTACCAATGAGGTTTTAGATTTTCTCCAGAAACAACAAAGAAAAGATAATAAGATTTACCTTCACTGATTTTAATTCCCTTTTAACCATTGGTTTTCTTTCTTCTTAGATGCAGAATCCTGATACACTCTCAGCAATGTCAAACCCTAGAGCAATGCAGGCTTTGTTACAGATTCAGCAGGGTTTGCAGACGTTAGCAACGGAAGCCCCAGGCCTCATCCCAGGGTAGGCTTATTTGGGAAAGATTATAAAAGTGCATAATGGTTACTTTCTGTGAGAATTTCAGAGCTAATATCACTCTGCCCTTTTTTTGTTGAGATTGCTTTTAAGTCACAGTTTTCAAAGTTAAAAATGCTTAATTTAAGAAGATTACTTAGCTGATATTAAGTTAAAATATGACTCATTTGCCACCTAGGCTTACTTCTAGTTGTGCACAGGTTTAGGTTTGTTACCTCTTTGTGCTTTCCGTAGGTTTACTCCTGGCCTGGGGGCATTAGGAAGCACTGGAGGCTCTTCAGGAACCAATGGATCTAACGCTGCACCTAGTGAAAACACAAGCTCCACAGCAGGAACCACGGAACCTGGACACCAGCAGTTTATTCAACAAATGCTTCAGGCTCTTGCTGGAGTAAACCCTCAGGTAACAGTTCTTTTCTGTTCAAGTTTTGTATTCCTTAATGTTAGAAATGTAGAAATTTCGAAAAAGAAGAAAAAGGGGAAAAAATGGTGGGTGTTTAGATTAATGAAAAGCACAGTCTTACAGATATTGAATCTAAAAACAGGCATTACAAAAGTTATTGACTTTGGTGTTGTATCGTACACTAAAGGAAACATTGTTATAGGTATAGAGAAGACATGCTACAATCTAATGCCTTACTTTTTAGAAGTTGCCTTTAAAAGTGTATTTCTTTTCAGAGTTCCCGTTTGAAAATCATAGGGAATAGGTTTTGTTTTATAAAAGTTTATCAGGGAGGAATGGAAACTTGGTTATTCCAAGTAACTCCAGGACAACTGTATTCTAGTCTTTGTCTTTTGACTGGGAAAAATCCTAACTACCTTACTTTACCCACCACCACACCACCTCTTGCAGTATCTTGTGTTACATCTACACCTCACAAATATGGCTAAAAAAATATGGACCCCTGATAATGTTCTTGTATCTGCAAGATTTATTGGCTTTACTAACACTATGCCATTATATTAGTTTGGTGCAAAAGTAATTGTGGTTTTGGACTGAGTTTTAAGTCATAACTAGGCTCAGACACATCTTTATGAATCAAAATAGGAACCATTACAATCAACATTTTTGCCAATGAGAAAAAGTTTGTTTATTCCTGTGGCGTAAAAACCCATGCTTCGGGATTCAGTGAACTCTTGGAAAGCATTTTCTGCATCCTTTTGGTTGTGAAAGCATTTTCCCTGCAAGAAGTTGTCGAGATGCTTGAAGAAGTGGTAGTCGGTTGGAGAGAGGTCAGGTGAATATGGTGGATGAGGCAAAACTTTGTAGCCCAAGTCGTTCAAGTTTTGAAACATCGGTTGTACGAGGTGTTGTCATGGAGATTTGGGCCCTTTCTGTAGACCAAATGCTGCCACAGGCATTGCAGTTTTTGGTGTATTGCATCAATTTGTTGAGCGTACTTCTCAGATGTAATGGTTTCACCGGGATTCAGAAAGCTGTAGTGGATCAGACTGGCAGCAGACCACCAAACAGTGACCGTGACCTTTTTTTGGTGCAAGTTTGGCTTTGGGAAGTGCTTTGGAGCTACTTCTTGCTCCAGTCACTGAGCTTGTCATTACCAGTTGTTGTAGAAAATCCACTCCTTGTTGCACGTCACAATCCAATCAAGAAGTGGTTCATTGTTGCCACGTTTGAAGATGACACTTCAAAACGACGATTTTTTTGATTTTTGGTCAGCTCATGAGGTGCCCACTTACTGAGCTTTTTCACCTTTCCAGTTTGCTTCAAATGCCGAATGACTGTAGTAGAATGGTCGACATTGAGTTCTTAGGCAGCTTCTTGTGTAGTTGTAAGAGGATCAGCTTCGATGATTGCTCTCAATTGGTTCTCGTCGACTTCTGATGGCTGGCCACTGCGCTCCTCATCTTCAAGGCTCTTGTCTCCTTTGCAAAACTTCTTGAACCACCACTGCATTGTATGTTCATTAGCAGTTACTGGTCCAGATGTGGTGTTGATGTTGGGAGCTGTCTCTGCTGCTTTAGGACCCATTTGGAACTTGAGTAAGAAAATCGCTGGAATTTGCTTTTTATCTAACATCATTTCCATAGTCTGAAATAAACAGCAAGTAATAAGTCATTAGCAAAAAAATACAAAATGAGAAATGCACATTAAAATGATGTATAACATAACCATATTTATTTAAGAATGTGTTCCAACATCAAATAGCAAGTTTCAACAATGTTAACACCACAAGTACTTTTGCTCCAACCTATTAAAAAGATGATTGCCACTTCAAACCTGTTACAGTAGTTTGCCCCCAAACTTCTTTTTTTTAAAAGACAGGATCTTGCTCTGTCCTCTGAGCTGGAGTGCAGTGGTGTGATCATAGCTCACTATAACCTTGAACTCCAGGGCTCAACGGATCCTCTACAGTAGCTAGGACTACAGATGTGTGCCACCATGCCCGATTAACTTTTTAAAATTTTTTATTTTGGCTGGGTGTGGTGGCTCACGCCTGTAATCCTAGCACTCTGGGAGGCTGAGGAGGGCAGATTGTTTGAGCTCAGGAGTTCAAGTCCAGCCTGAGCAAGAGCGAGACCCCGTCTCTACTAAAAATAGAAAGAAATTAATCGGACAACTAAAAATATATAGAAAAAATTAGCCGGGCACGGTGGTGCATGCCTATAGTCCCAGCTACTCGGGAGGCTGAGGCAGAAGGATTGCTTGAGCCCAGGAGTTTGAGGTTGCTGTGAGCTAGGCTGATGCCACGACACTCTAGCCTGGGCAAAAGAGTGAGACTCTTGTCTCAAAAAAAAAAAAAAAAAAAAAATTTTAGAAGTCTCGCTGTGTTGCCCAGGCTGATCTCAAACTCCTGAGCTCAAGTGATCCTCCCTCCTGGGCTTCCCAAGGTACTGGGAATGAGTCATTGTGCCTGGCTGTACCCAAACTTCTTAATGGAAAAACTGTTTCAAGGTCTCCTAGATGCTTTGTGTTTTCAATAAACAAGATAGGGTATCTTAAATATATTTGTAGTCCCGATACCTAACATAGTTTCTGGCTCATGGTAGGTACTTAGTAAATATTCATGGAATTAATAAGAAAAAAAGATTTGGTATAGGACAGAATTAATTGTTATGTAAGTTAACCTACAAACCTCCCTATTATCAGGTTGGCCGGGATTGGGTTGGTCATTTATATGTGTGTGTATGCTTTTAACCTCATTTCTGAAGAGAGATTTGATGCCACTGAATTGTCAGAATTAGGAATATAGTTTGTGGGCCTGAAACTGGAACTCTTGTAAGAATTGACTGGCCAGTGTAGAAATTGAAACCACATTCTAAGCCTTATTGGAATGTTAGAATTATATATAAAACACTGGCTTTTGTAGTTACTTAGCTGGTCAGTAGCTACACAAAATAAATCATCTAATTTAAACTATTTGCTTAGGTACTTCAAGTTTTTATGCATGTTGATGAGCCTCTAAAATAATGGTTGGAGTTTATTAACCTTTTTTCCCAAAGAAAAGTTATATAATCCATTTGACATGATTGTTTAGGTATAAACTAGTCTATTTAAAATAACAAAGTGCTAATGGACTTGTAAATATGTTGGATATGTTTCAAGAGAGGGGCAGTGCTTTTAAAGCTCAGTAGACCAGCATATGTTACAAAAGAGCAATTAAAATTTTTGAAAAGTTACTTAGGTGTGACATGTACTCGTTTCACTTAGAGTCTGATTAATTTTTTTTATCAGCTACAGAACCCAGAAGTCAGATTTCAGCAACAACTGGAACAACTCAGTGCAATGGGATTTTTGAACCGTGAGGCAAACTTGCAAGCGCTAATAGCAACAGGAGGTGATATCAATGCAGCTATTGAAAGGTTACTGGGCTCCCAGCCATCATAGCAGCATTTCTGTATCTCGAAAAAATGTAATTTATTTTTGATAACGGCTCTTAAAACTTTCAAATACCTGCTTATTTCATTTGACTCTTGGAATTCTGTGCTGTTATAAACAAACCCAGTATGATGCATTTTAAGGTGGAGTACAGTAAGATGTGTGGATTTTTCTGTGTTTTTCTTTTCTGAAACAATGGGAATCAATGCTTTTTCATTTAAGGCTACTGCATGCATCAAACACTTCTGCATTTATTGTAATTTTTTAAAAACATCACCTTTTATAGTTTGGGTGAACAGGTTTTGTCCTGCATCTGTCCAATTTGCTTTTTAAACGTTAGCCTGTGGTAGTAATTTATGTAGAATAAAAGCATTAAAAAGAAGCAAATCATTTGCTCTCTATAATTTGTGGTACAATATTGCTTATTGTGACTTTGGCATGTATTTTTGCAAACAAAATGCTGTAAGATTTATACTACTGACAATTTTGGCTTTATTTGTATACAATATAGAGTATGCACATTTGAGACTGCGTTTCTAGAATCATACTGCAATAGGTTATCTGAGCAAAACACCTGTAACCAAAAAAGTAAAGATAAGGAAATACTCTCAGAGTTGAGTATTTTCTAATTGTATAAAATCTTACAGCATCTTTGATAAACATCTCCCAGCAAAAGTATCGGTTAGTCAGGTTTTTTGAAAATATAGTAGAAAAGCTGATTCTGGTTATCTCTTTAAGGACATTTAATTGTACAGACAACATAATGTAACATTGTCTCGACATTCACAGATTGACTGTAAATTAACCTTAATCTTTGTGCAGACTGAAGGAACACTGTAGTATACCCAAAAGTGCATTTGCCTAGGACTTTTCAGCTTCTCCCATAGATAGTTTAACAGGCATTACAATTTGTAATTGAAATGTCGCTTTCACTGAAAGTGTCTTGATGTTTCAGTTATTTTTAATCGCCATATAAAAATAGAACTATCTTTTGGGTTTATCTGTTTTCTCATGCACAGGCAATACATGGATTTAAAATGATTTGTGAGCCACTTGTTTCTGAAGTGTTTTGGTAGTTCTATTAAGAAATAGTTAAATATTGTGCTTTCAGAGCCTCAGAGAGTGGGGAAGGGGGGGGCAGTGGAATCTATCCTGGATTAGGCCAGTTTAAATAATACTGGCAACTAAGATTCTGTTAGGATTTCTGTGCATATAGTGTAGTAAAGAAGTATCATTCAGGGGTGAAAAACAAAAGCTGTTTTAAGAATGTTGAGTACATTTGGCTGTTCTGCAGCCTTTTTCTTCCCTCCCCAGAGAAGTTCTGCCTAACTCTCAAACTGTTGGGGTGGTACATTCCTTTAGGACCAATTAAAACATAATTTAGGGTCAGTAATATATTTGACTGACTCTGGTTCAGTATTCTCTTAGGTCATTCTCTCATGTACAATTACAGGAAATTAAAATGTCAAAGTAACCTAAAACGAGTCCAGACCAATAAAATCAAGGGAAATACAAGTTGAATTCCATTACTTCTACAAGTTGCTTGCTATTAAAAAAGGTCAAGAGGCCAGGTTGCTCACCAGTCCATGCACTGTTCTGACACTTTTCCCAGGAGGAAAATATGTACAAAGGTTAGGGTGGAGGCATGACTAGAGATTATTGTGGATGGTATTCATGTGTCTTTGCTCTTTCTGCCTATGCCTCAGTCTGGTTTTAAAACTTTTGTACTGATGAGGGGTGGTATACAGTGTGGGATAGTGTCATAACCAATTTGATGATTTATTAATCACAAAATAACAATAAATCTCTAGCTTTTACACTTGGTTTGTCTTGCCTTATTTGTAGAAAGGAAAATATGTCTTCAATTTTACTTTCTCTAACCTTCTAAAGGCTGTTGGAATTGAATTAACCTAGATTTTATCACTTTAGATTATTCTTTATTAATTTTTCAGGCTTCCCCTGCTAAAATGTCACATACACTGTATTGTGGTGTGTTAAAAAGACAGCCCACTGGTAAGTTACCTGAGCTCTGCTTGTGTTTTTGGTACCTATTTGACATTGAATGAGGCATCATGATTTCTTTATCATACATGTGGTGGTGAGGCTTACAGGGTGCACTGGACTGGGTGATCTCCTAAGTACTTTAAGCTGCTGCACTGGTAGGATTTTTTTGTTGTGTTTTAATATGTTTATCTTAGATCTAAATATTTGTTAAGGGATTGAAAATACTTAAAATTCTTACAAGTACTAAAAAGATGCTTAAAAATACTGTAGGCTTAAATTGTTCTCATGTTGTGTTATTTAGTACAAATTGAATAAAAAATGAAGTGGTGAAAATAACATTTCAGGATTTTATTTCCCAAGTGTAATATTTGTGATACCCTAAACAAAGTATAGCAAATATTAAACAATCAGATAAATGACAGCTGGCCTCTGTATTTAGAATCTTGGGTTTCAGGCTTGGCTTAAATATAGTAATGAAAGGGATATTTTGTTTGGGGAGACATTATTATTATGTTAATGTAATAGACAAATCATGATAAAACAGAATGGATAACAATATGTTAGTGGCAAAAATGAATCTAGGCTGTGTGTGCACATATATATACACATGTATAACAAAAAGTTGTGTGGTTAAGGCAGGGAAATACTGCATATTGTACTTCCTCTCAGAGATTAACATTAAACATCTTAAAGTCAACAACATGTCCTACATTAATTAAACAAATCTAAAAGTTGTTTTATCCAGCCTTTTCCATCCCTTTTACTGGACTTTTCTTTAAGGTAATGCTATATCCAATGAACACACTTTGGGAAAAGCTATACTTGGTAAATCTCCCCTTCCCTGGTGTTGCATATGGTGTTTATCTGTCTTCTTGGGCTTTATGGAGCCTATCATTCTTTCTGGGCTCAGTTCTGAAGTCTTCCTAAGCTCTGCTAATCCAGTGATTGATTAACTCTGAATTATTTAACCTTTACTGTCAATTGCTGCATTCTTTTTCTCCTGTTCACCTTACAACGTTTTGTTCTGTTTTGTTTTTCTTTCATTTCCCTGAGCTGAAATTGTCTTGGCAATTACCTAAGTAACATCAAGTAAGTGTTCCTCCTCAACTTCTCTATCTTTTCCCATATGCAACCATTGCTTCAGAAAGTCAACATTTGTTGAACATCTGTTGAGTGCCAAGTTCTTTTCTGGTTGCTCAAAGTATAGCAGTAAATAAAACAAGGTTCTGTCCACATGAGGCTTACATAGTTGAATGTAGGGAGATAGTAAAACGTATTGATTGCCTGCCAGCTAATGATAAGTGCTTTGGTGAAAAATTCTGAGTAGTAAGGAGGTTAGTTCAGGAAGGGGATGTTCTTATTTTATACAGGGTAGGCAGAGAAGGCCTTACCTCATTGAGAACGTGACATTTGAATGGAGACTTGAATATCTGGAGGGGTGAACAACTTTCCATGAAGAGGGACTAGAGAAAAGGCCCTGTAAAGTGTTCTGAGCATTGTTGACCTACAGGAAGAAGCTGAGGCACAAAATATAATTTAAGGAGTTTTCTTGAGCCAAAGCGAGGACAGCTGCCCAGGATATACTTCAAGTTGCCTTGGGGAGTGTTCCGTTTGGCCTTTGCAAGCAGGCTTTTAAAGGCAAAAGGGAACAAGGAGTGGGCTGATACAAAATTGTTTGACAGAAATTTTCATTGGTTTGCAGAAATAACGTTGATTAGCGTTTGGCCATACATTGTTGAACTACAGGGTATGAGTTACGGTGTCCAGTGTATGGCATTTTATGCTTCTTGCGGTCAGTTAGCCTAGAGCCCACGTAACAAGTGGCTTTAAGAGTTATATTAGCTCAAGAGGAGAGGAGTGAGATGTGACTGCTGTCAAATTTAAATGCCTCTCTGGGCCTGATAATTTAGATAGAGGGCCTCACATTTTTCAGATAAAAAGTTTTTTCATTATGTTTGTAGAACACAAGGAAGCCAGTGTGGCTGAGCTAGGGGGAAAGTGGTACAGGGAATAAGCTTTGAGAGGTGTGGGGAATGAGGTAGAGGTGGTTCAGGGGGTTGACATGGAAGGCTTGTTAATACAAGTTAAATGTACTTCACTGAACATTTCTTTCAGTGGAGACGTTGAAGGAAGTAGAGGAGCTGCAGAGGAGATGAACAGGTAGGTCATAAGGTAAGAATCAAGAGGGATCCTGAAAGCAAGTGAGGACACTTAATCAGGAGGAGAAAGGTTAAATGTGCTGCTGCTTCAAGTACTCATCGTGGATTGAATTTTCACTCTGTAGATTTAGTAAAGGAATTGACCCTCATGACCTGTGACTCGGGGTTTAGAGTGGTGGGGTAAAATTATGACTAAGAGTGGACTGAGGAGATACCAGGAGGCACAATTTTGTAGAGAGAATCGGAGAAATGGATAATACCTGTGGGGCATGGGTGTGTGTGGTGGTGATGATACGGAAGTTTGCCTTTGGCTTCTCTTGAAGATAGGAAATACTATAGCATGAGGGGGCAGAAGGGACTTGATGGGGTGATTGTTTTCTGCCAAAAAGTACAGAGAATAAGGAGTTACTGCCAGCATTTGATTCCTTAGAATAGGGTGGGTTTTTTTTTTTTTTTTTTTTTTAATATCAGTACCTTTGTTACATGGGCTAAGGTGTGAAGGGGAGGGTGTCTTTGTCTTTCTAGTCATCATTTTCCTTAACTTTCCCTTTTCTTGTCAGTAGAAGTGACACCTGTCCAGCCCATCTGAACTGTTCTTTGTGATCAACTGTTTTGAAATAGAGGAAAAGCACCCCCCTTCCAATGTTTTTGCTTGGGTAAGATTGCATAGAACAAGACTGAGATTTCCTCTAGAGCTGGACAGTGATGGAGCATACCCTCAGTTTGCTTAGAATGGGGTTAGGCAGGTATAGGAGCTCTAGTATAGTTTCCTTCGAAAGACCAAAGCTGAGCGTGGAGCCTGATTCTTCAGTGGGATATACAGTAGTCACTTGTGCATTCAAACTAGAGTTCTTAAAAGAGTTACTCAGACATATTCTCCATCCTTCTTCCCAGAGATAGGAGGGGATTTCCACTGTGTTGTGGTTATCTAATGCTTCATAACAAATTACTGCACAGTTTGGTGGCTTAGAACAAAATCTTTTGTTTTATTCATGAGTGAGCAATTTTGGCAGGGCTTGGTGAATACAGCTGGAGCAACTTGACTGGATCTGGAGAATTTATTTTCAAGAGAGCTTGTTCACATAGTTGTTAAATTAGTGCGTGCTTTAATCTGGCAGTGCACACAGGGTTTCAGTTCCTTTCCACAGGGCTGCTTGTGCTTCCTTACAGCATGGTGGATGGGTTTCAAGAGTATGTATTTCAAGAAAAATGAAAGCCACCAGTATTTTAAGTCCTGGGCCCCAAAGTGGCCCAATGTCACTTCTCCCACATGTTATTGGTCAAGGAGTCTTAGCTTTCCCAAATTTAAGAAGGATCATAGACCCTACTGCTTGATGGGAGGAATGTCAAAGAATTTGTGACCGTCTTGATCTACCATACACTGTAATCCCAGAAGGAGAAACATGTTGGAGGGGCACATATTTCTTCACCACTGCTCACTCCTTTCTAAGAGAAGTAGTGACTCAGCTGCTTGTTCAGTCTGGTAGAAAGAACTAAGTATACTTGACTGACAACTGCTTTTCTTTGGAAAACAGTCTGTCCCAGGGGAAGCACGTATTCTAGTCTACTTCCACTGTGTGGTAATGAGGTTAGTGAGATAGGCTTGACCCCTGCGGGAAGGCCTATAGTTTTCTTTGTTTTAAAAAAATTACGGTGAAATACACATAACATAAAATTTACCATAGTAACCATTTTATAGGGTACAATTCAATGGTATTAATACATTCACAGGGTTGTACAACCATCACCATCATCCAGAACTTTTCATCACCCCAAAAGGAAACCCAGTAGCCTTTAAGTATTCACTCTCTATTCCTCCCTCACCCCAGCCTCTGGCAACCACTAAATCTACTTTCTGTCTTTATGGATTTACCTATTCTGGACATTTCATGTAAATGGAATCATACCATATGTGGCCTTTTGTGTCTGGCTGCTTTCACTTGGTATGTTTTCAAAGTCCATCCATGTTGTTATGGCTGAATTGTATGTCCATTGTATATTCACGCCACATTTTATTCATTCATCTGTTGGGCACTTACAGCATTTGCCTGCTGTGAAAAATATTTTCCGCAGTGGCTGTACCATTTGCATTCCCATCAGTAGTGTGCGAGTCTCAGTTTATCTACATCCTTGCCAACCTTAATTCTCATTTTTTTTTTTTTTTTAAGTTACGGCCGTCCTGGTAGGTGTAAAGTGATAACTCACTGTGGTTTTGATTTGCATTTCCCTAATGACTTAATGATGTTGAGCATCTTTTCATGTGTTTATTGTCCATTTGTATATCTTTGGAGAAATGTCTACTCAAGCCCTTTGTCCATTTTTAATTGTGTTTTGTTGTAGGATTTCTTTATATGTTCTGTATATTAAATGCTTATAAGATTTATGATTTGCAGAACCATTTACTGTGAGTTGTCTTTTCACTTTCTTGGTAATGTCCTTTGCACAAAAGGTTTAATTTTATTTAAGTCCAACTTTTCTATTTTTCTCTTGTTGCTTGTGCTTTTGATGTCATAGCTAAGAATACATAACTACATCTGAGGTCACAGAGATTTTCCTGTATGTTTTCTTCTAAGAGTTTTACGGTTTTAGCTCCTATATTTAGGTCACTGATCCATTGGGGTTATTTTTGTTTATGGTGGAAGGTTCAATTTGTAATTTGT